TTGAAACGTCGAAACGTGTAGAGTCGTAAACTTTTTGAAGGCCATAGTTAGGCCAAAATAAAATGTTTTTAATTGTGTACCAGTTTAACGTTGAATATTATTTATGATTTTAACCTTGGTAATTATAAGCCACGAATCACGTTTCAGCACGTTGATAATACAGTATTTCTACACAGTAATGGTGAATGTTGTTTGTAACAGAACCTTAATTTGTGTTTCCTCTTCTATTTCTAAGTGATTTTACAGAAAAACATAGAGGTCGTCACATCCTATCGGATAAAGGTATTTTTGTTGTTGTTGAAAAACGTAGGTGGTAAATAGTGTGTAATTTTATAGTTAGTATGACTTGTATGTTAAGAGAAACTGTTTGGAATTGATCTACAGAAAGTCGTATATTCAGAATATCATAATAATATGACATTCCGTGAAATGGCGTTACATACTTGTGGTTTATATGTCAAGGAAAACGTTACGTTTTGACAGTCATCTGTTACAATGAATGATGTTGTGTAGATTGTAATAACTACAGGGTAGAACCACACAGGTTACACTTAAGAATATAAATAGACCTTTTGAGGGCTATGTAAGTTAAGCTAAATTCAAAAAATATTTAAACGTATTTCGTTACTTTCAGTTAATATGAAAATATCTAGTTTGAACATTTTATGTATAAATGAACACGAAACAGGCCTTTTATAGACTACACAGATTGTGTGTGTTGTATGTACAAGATTATATTGAAAACCATCCTTTTCAGAGCTTCTTAAGTTAAAATTAAAATAACTTGTATAATGTATTTGTGTAAATCTGCGTAATACATTATACAAATAATGAAACTGTTAAGTTATTGATATATATAGACGAACTAAATACACACAATCGTACCTTCCATTTTAATGTGGACATAACTTTGGTTAATGTCTTTTATATGATGTATAGTTTTAATGTCTGACGTTGGCATGGAAAACAGTCCTCTACGTAGCTAGTATACTGACAATCTTGTAAATAAATAATAAAGAACTCTATGAATATTGAAACTGTAATAAATGAAACGTACAAGACTTGATACAAAATGATAAAAACCCTACAACCCGAGCGCTTTCGAAAGGTGGACTTTGTTCTTCGGGGGGGGGTAAACAATACAATACACAAGTTTTTAAAACAGCTGAGATTAACACTGTATGAATATAAGTTTTCAATTACAGTGACTTTATGGAAAACGATACAGCCGACATATATAAATCACATCCGAACATGGTAGAAATCTAGGTTAAGTATATTTCATTCCCTGAAGGAGAATGAAATATAACAGTGGCGGTCAGAAACTTCTCGAAATACTAACAAAAATACTTCTTCGTTTAAAACCCTAATGGACTGAATAAAGAAGTTAGTGTTAAAAATATAATAGGCCTAATATTTGTCTTATCTATTTCATTGAATTATATTTCGCCAGCTTAGAAAAGGTATTCACACCATAACAAATGACTTGTATATAAATAGTGTTCCAGCC